AGATGTTATTCAGATGGAACTTTATTTTCAAGTTGTTTGTAAAGATGTTATTCAGATGGAACTTTATTTTCAAGTTGTTTGTAAAGGATGTTATTCAGATGGAACTTTCTTTACAAGGGAGCTTTATTTACAAAAGAGACTTAAATTTGTTCTTGTGAATTATACTGACATTGAAACATTTTCTTTGAATAGTCCTGATATTCAGTGTTTTTTCTTTGAATAGTCCTGATATTCAGTGTTTTTTTCTTTGTATAGTACTGATATTCGGTGTTTTTCTTTGAATACTACTGATATTTAGTGAAAATTGCTTGTGTATAAAGAAAATCTTGGATAATGAACCCAGATATGATGGTTTCTGTAATCCAAAGTTGCAAAGAGGATACAACTACGTAGTGATTAAGGGCATGGAACGTGCACAGAGGGAACAAAATCAGATGATCTAATGTTTTCTACGTTTGAAAGTTTCAATGGGAATAGAGCCATGGAGCCTTTGATGGCATGGAACGTGCTCAGAGGGAACAAATTCAGATGATCTAATGTTTTCTACGTTTGAAAGTTTCAATGGGAATAGAGCCATGGAGCAATTGATGGCATGGAACGTGCTCAGAGGGAATGGGTTCAGGAAGTCCAATGTTTTCTACGTTTGAAAGTTGCAATGGGAATAGAACCATGGAGCCATTGATGGCATGGAACGGGCACAGAGGGAATACGTTCAGGAGATCTAACTTTTTCTATGTCAAAGTTTTAAGAGCTACGAAGTTAAAGTTTTCTATGCTTTATGGTCACACCAAGAAAAACAGACGAAACTACAGACAAGCATGATTTTTTTTTTGTGTGGGGAGAGGGAATTGGGAATCAATAATGTTTCGTTAATGTGAGAGAATCATCAGGGTTTGGGTTTCTTTCTAAGAAAACACCAGGTAGAAAGAAGGAAAATTGAATTACTATCCCTACCATTTGTCACTATTTCAGTAATTAATGAATACTGCCACTTATAACTGTTTACCCAGTAGAATTTGGGGAGAAAAAAGTGTTTATATATATATATAACAAAAGAAAACTAAGTTCAGGGAAAGGGGAGTGTAATCTTCACGTGCCTTGGTGTGACCTAATCGAAAATCGTTCGCCTCGAGCTGAATGGCTTCTAACACTTTCTCTGTTGCGTTTTTTGCGTCAACGAAAGATCCTTTGGGTACTGCGTTTGGAGCCAAGATTGTATATCTGGAATAACGACAGGGAAACAATTTGTTTGTTACTATATATATATATATAGATGTATAAATATCTAATAAAATATCATGCGATGGGTGAAACACTGCAAACCTTGGTAGTCGAACTTAAAGACAAAAACAGAAGGTGAAACGCCCTTTGTGAGACAGAAAAAGGAAACACAGAAAATTTGCATATATTCCCAAAAACAAAAACTTCAAAGACTGGTATTTTCCATCATCTATATAATTGTGCTTTTCACAAATAAAAGCTAAACATATTTAGTAAATACTAGATTTACACAAACTCCGTGTGTTCCTCAATCAGAGACTTAAGTGAACTATAACACTATTCATATAACCACCCTAGTTTTACGTGTGTTTTTTAATAAGATATATTGACGTACGACTTATAATTTAACATTTTATGTAAACACACAGTAAAGTCATGTTTTTCTTGTATACATATAGATTGTATAAAATTCAACACAGATTTATAACACACATGACTGTGTTGTTTTAACTTGAACTTGATCTGTAGTCATTGAAACACCACAAGTTGAATGGTTTATAACACAATTTTTACAGTGCCTTCAGATATTCATCAAAATCAACACTAACTATCACTTGTGTTTACCAGAGATTCATATTTCATGTCAAACTATACTACAGTGATCACAGAACGTATCGTTACTTTAGCCTGACAATGTTGCCCGTTCATAGAACGTGTTGTTATTTTAGTGTTGACGGTTCAAACATGAAGACTGACCTGTGTTTGAAGTCAGGGTAAATCATCCTGTTAGGAAATCCCTTCCTGCAGATACGGATACCTTCCAGTACGCCGTTACAGGTCAGCTGGTGCATCACCAAATGGGAATCAATCACACCTATAGAGGGCAGCACCAGTCACATTTACAAGAGGCATTAACGGTTAATACAATTTTACCTTGGTATAATAAAACCAATTGTTTTGATTAAAGATTGCAGACGTTAGTTCAGCATTGGAAACAACACAGATTCTTTATTTTACAAAATAATTTGAATTTGTAAAACAGAAAACC